CAGTGTGATTGATAGTGGCCCCCCCCGGATAGACACACACTGGCAGCGGGTGAGCGGGTCGGGGCGCTCCAACCGACGCTCCGGCCGGCCCCGCCCAGGTGGGGTGGGGTGCCGGAGAACCACCGGAGGGAGTAGAGAAGCTCGCAGAAATTTTTGAGAGGAAAATTTGCCTTCGTTAGAGTTGACAACCACCTCTGCACCAGGAATAAGAAAGGTTTTCAGTAACACTGCTCTTGCGCGTTGCTGACGGATTATTCGCGTTTTAACGGCGTAAAACCTTTGAAGTACAAAGGATGTCCCGCGTCCCGGGTGTAAAGGTGCTGGGTCCGACGCTTTGTTCCCCTCGGCTCCTCACCATCATCTGCGCCCGAGGCCGGTGCAGCCGACTCGACAGGGATTGAAGGGACTTTGGGAGTTGCTCTAAGTGGGTGTCGGCAGGCGTGTCGTGTCCCAGGGGGTCCATCGCCCCTCCGCGGTCAGGGATCTCTGATCGAGCCGGTCGGGGGGCAGGTCGCTGCATCACGGATTCCCCCCGCGAGTTCAGGCGTTCAGGCGCTGCCACTTCATGTCGGCGAGTTGAGTATCGGGCAGCAGAGAGAGGAAGAGAGAGACAGAGAGAGAGAGGACTCGTTTTTCCGCCACCCCCTCCCTGCCCCGCGCTTTCTATCGCGCGCGGGTCGGGCGGCGATATCGCGAGACAGTATCGGCATTTGGAGAGGAGTGGAGGCCGATAACGCCCCCCTCCCCCCCGGTCGGGAGCGGCGCGATTGGCGGGGGAAGGGGGGTGCTGGCATTGGGCTGACCGTTCAGACGGGCTGGAGAGGCACCCCGCCGCCCCGCCGAGTCGAGCAGAAGCGCCGAGCCGGCCGAGTCCATTCGCCAGCCAACTAAGCGAACGGAGCCGCGGCCCTCGCGCCCCGGGAGCAAACTCAACAGCTTCGATAATCCTGCTTTCGCTGCCCCCGCCTTTTTCTTGCTAGAGCACTTCTCCAGGCGAAGGGGGGAGACTAGCACTAGAGTTTGCAATCGGTCGGACACTACCCCGGCGAGCTTACCCGACAGTCTTCTGTCTCTCTCACTCCCATCTCACGTCAGATATGAGTGAGAGAGACGAATGACTGTCGGGTAAAGCTCAGCGGGGTAGTGGACAACACGCCAACACGGCGCACCCCCTAAAGGACTAAAGAAAAGGCCTCGATCGGGCTAATCGATCTAATTTATTTCCTGGTCTAGTTTTTCATGATGTATAAGCAAATGATCCACTGTACCAGGTGGCCGATTAACCCCGCACACTTCTGTAGTTATACTGTACCGCACGCAGGAGTGCGGGCGGGTTTGCCTATTTTTGCTGCCAACGGCTCCTTGGGGCCCCGTGCGAGTAGGCAACCCGCCCGCACGCGGTACAGTATAACTACGAAAGTACGCGGCGTGAATCAGCCACCCGGTATAATGCTATTATTAATATTTCAAGAAATTCAGGGCCCTGTACACCTACGCCGGTGCGCTCCCAAGCAGCGCGGCGAGAGACGGGAGCGGGAGCCACTTTTTCAAAACGACTCCGGAGAGCAGCAGCGGCAAGGTCCCGCCCCGCCCCGCCCCGCCCTCGCCGTCGTCACTCACGGCCGGAGGTAATAAGGCCCTTCCTAATTGTAATTAGTGGCACAACTTTGGCGGCACTGGATCGACCTCCGCCCGGCTCTACTCGGCGCGGCGTGGCGCGGCCATGGCGGATGGCGGGGCCAAATTCCTGGCGCGAATTCCGCCCCCGCTCTCCTGCTGCTCGCCCCGGCCGGCGCGGGCGCGTCGGGACCCGCTTACGTCACACGACCTGCCCGAGCGCGCGCGCCGCTGCCAAACCCGACCGCCGCGTCGCCGCGGGGCGGGAGCTCAACCTTTCTCCGAGCCGAGGATGAGGCAATGAGCTCGGCAGCGCGGTGAGAGCGCACGGGGCCGGGGGC